TTATGAGGCATATACCTCCTTTGCTTCAGCAGCAGTAGCAGAGTGTGGGGGTGAGGGTTGCTGCCCTGTGTGGGAGTCAGCCATTAACATTCATGCATTTCAGAGAAACCAGGGAGAGGGGCTTCTTGGTAGAAGTGTATGAAACACATCACCGCGGAACTCTGTTTTCTGCCTTTTTTAATCTCATGTGCTGAGCAGAACAGATCCGTCAGGGTCACAGCAGAGGCCTCATTCAAATATGCTGCAAAGCTAAGTCTGTCACCCATTAGCCCATTTATGTCTCATGTTCCCTCCAGTGATTCATGGTTTTGTTACAAAACCAGAATCATTTTCATCTCATTAGCAGAGTTAAGTATTAAGGGGTCTTACTGAGGTTTTTTTTATTTCACTAGCTGGTGTCTATTCATTATCTTTTTTCACACTTAGAAATGCTTAATGAAGGGAAACAAAGGCACTTTGTCGGAAGCACATTTCAAACCCTTTAACCATATGGCTATTTTGTGATGAAGTTCTTAAAACACAGACAGTGCTTGTAATTGTTTAAATAGAGCCGGGTTACAACTCAACCTTTTTCAATTTAAAATCAAATGGGCTTCTTTTTTTGTCATCACACAAACTGTCCGTGATTTGTCCTCACTTTATCTATGATGTTTTGGTCTTCAGAGCCTCATTGGATACAATTCAACTTGTGATCACGATCCAACTGTTTGTCTGTAGGGCTCTCTGTGGGGCAGTGAATTAATTGGCACACTGATGGACTGACAGTTAGCTTTAACAGTCTGATCATGGCGGATTTTAAATGCAGGGTGATGAACTTGCACAGTTCTTACCGCAGGGGTGTTTTCATTTAAATGACAACAATCAACGAATATTGATAGAGCTAGACTCATAAATTAGCCATATATCCACTGATACAAGTTAATTGCAGATATAATGCTGGTACAGAAAAGCCAATATATAGTAATATTACATAATTTATCTACTAGGCTAGAGAATAATGACAAGTTTATTTTTCAGACCCTTCTCTGTATATATCTTCCTTAAGAACTAAACAAATCCAATGATTAAATTGTTGTTTATGTTTTGAGCGTTTGTTTTAAACAATATCACCATCTGAAATATTGTTATCTGACTTTTTTTAAACTCTGACTTGTTCTAAAGAATCTTGTATCTGTTGTTATATAATTACAGGTTCCTATTTATGCAACTCTTCTAAAAATCGGGAAATATGTTTTTTAATAAGATGGCTGTGCTCTGAAGGCTTTGCTAAAATATTCATTAAAACATACTTTCTGGATGTTGCCAGATGCGCTCGCATACTTGTTCTTTCGAATGCCTTTGAATTATCTCTGCCTGGAATGCAGGGATGATGGCGCTTCGTTGGTAGCTGAAAGTCTTGATGTCAGTGATTTTGCAGCAGCAGCAGCAGCAGCAGCAGCAGACTGTCTGCTTTGTGAAACGACTCCTTCCCTGAGAAACACTGCTGCCTAGTGTGGTTGAAACTCTTTGTGACACTCTTTGATATTTACTGTGTGACATACAAGCTGGTAACATCTTCAAAAACAAGGACTGTCTTTTCAACTTTTTCACTGTTCTTGAAATATGGGTTCTATGAAAGCAGTTGCTTCTGTTTGCAAGATATAATGACAGCGTTTGATCTTTAAAGCACACCTGGTCTGTTATGGAGGATTTTATTGTGAAAATACGTAGTTTTACGAGTACAATATGTCCATCGTTAACAGTCAGCAGGAGCGACAAAGCTGAGGAGGTTTTTTTCTTTATTTTTGGACGTGGGTTTAAACCTACAAACACTTCTCTTAAAGCAATGTGGAATGTAACTGACCTCGAGAAGTGGTGTCTCCTTTATCATTCCCATCCTCCTCCTCTTCTTACTTGACTCAAATCTGGCCTCCTCTTGTGTACACTCATGTGCTCACAGGGTTTCCTTGAAGGTTCACATACTGCAGATGTTTTATTGTAGAGGCCTGCAAGGCAAAAAAGGAAAGGGTAAGCTTCCCATGTCTTTTGTATTTTTGTATTCAAGGAGTCAGGACATAATCTGTGTGTCTGTTTTTGATCCAGCTAGGCTGGAGGAGTACAAATTAATCATCTTTTTGGGACAAGTCACGCTTTGATGAATAATATTAACAACATTGGGGCCCAAAGGTCTGTTAAAGCATTTTATTTAAATGTTTCTTTCAGCCTTCAGAGAAAAATATTGAAATATCTTAAGCAAACAGTGAGCTTGAATTTAGTCCGCACATTGATGTAGGCATGGTGCTGAATAATGGTTTTAGATGACTCTTAATATGTCTGCTTGGATGGAGCCCACGCCCGACAACAGTATTTACTATCTGCGATGTTAATATTAGACACTTGCCCTGCGGAACTCATTTCACTGATGGTGTGTCTCGGAGTTTAAAGCGCATTACGATGTGCATTATATTCCGTTTAAGTCGTGGTTCAAGCCAGACGAGCTGTATGGATGGAGATGGCGGTCTACCACTTTGGTCTAGACTTAAATATTTCAACTATCTGATTGATTGGTATGACATTTAGGAAGGCATTCATGTTGCCCAAGACGTTCCTTATTTCCTTTGGCGCCATCATTAGATTGATGTTTGTGGTTTTGAGTAACATGAGAGTCAACCATGAGAGAATCTACTAAATGGACCTTTGAGTTAAGATTATTCTGTCACACAATGTCAAGGATGATGCTCTAATACATATAAACAGTTTCTTACTTTATTTCAAATGCACAGTGTAGTTTGATCATGATATAAAAGCTCATACCTACCTTAATGAATACTTCTCTAGTGAACAGCTCTGTGAGTGTGAGAACAAACTAAGAAATAGCAATAGAGTGCCACAGTGACGCGTCCTAATACCCGGAAGTAAGCTGCGCATGGGTTCCTTCGACAAAAAAGCAATGCAATTTCTCCATAGGATTTTGGAAAATAGCTGGAAATAAGGTCTGTGGTTGACACACATTTAAGAGACGGATCACGTTTTGTTCAGCCGGGTAATCTCCACATGTCTACCCTACTTTTATAATTTTCAAAATGATCACTGTGGCACTCTATAAAGCAACAGTTTAATTTGATGCTTTAGTTTTTTTTTTTAAATGAATGGCAATAGGAATACTGCATTTTGTTGGTGACCAGCTGCAGCTATAGCTGTTATGTAGGACAAATATGCATTAATTATCTCTAGAGTTGAGATCAGGGGCATTCAAATGACATCCCCCCCTTCTTATCGTTGCATCAGTGGTACATTGTGATTGAAGCGCTCGTATCCTTTTGAATTGACGGCATACATCTATGTGGCTCAGAGCTGACACTTTTGTTTGAATGTATCATGATTATGGATCATCTGCTCTGTGTACTGAACTTTGCGCTCTTTCAGCTGCTGCACGATGTACAGCAAAGTACCAGGACAAACAATCTGTGAGCTGCCTATAAATACCTTAAAGCAACCATGAAATACTGCTTCATCCTCTCTCATTTGTTTCCATGAAGCAGGACAGCTGGAACAAAAACCTCCTCTTGCTCTGTGTTGCATGAAGGAGAATTTTCTTTTTCTTTTAAGCAGTCCTTGGCAGACAGAGCGATCGACTGACAGATACAGACAGACAGAGGCAGAGCTGACCTGAAAACCACAGAGACTTCCTGCATGTCTGACTGATGATGTTAACCTTTACCTCGCCAGCAGCTCTGCAGAACTTGGCCACCTCTTAATGTGTGTCATGTTGCATAATCAGCTCTGCCAGCCAAAAGGGTGAGGCACTTTTCTGTGTCTGTGGTTGTGTGCGAGTGTAAACAGACTGCAGGCCTGATGGGTAATGCATCCGTTGAAATATATTTTCAGAGCATAATCCTGCCCTTTAAAAAAAAAAAGAGGACACTCACCCGACACTTTGCCATCAGCCCCTCTGGGAAGTTTTAACGCCTCCACCTTAAACTCCTACGGCAAGATTTTGCCCCGGAGGAAACGTTTACAATGTGAACCTCATGGAGAGTGACAAAAAGAGCAAATAAGAAATGCTATGTTTTGCTAAAAGCTACGTGGTCCACGCTTTTGGCCTTGGAGACAGTTAAAGAGCATTCTGGACGTGCACAGCTCCTGACATATTGGGAGCTGCCGTGGAGGGAGAAAAAAAAAAAGAAAAAGCAAAGAAAATATCCTATTTGATTAGAAAAAGAAAGTGAGCCAGTTCCTCTTTGCAGTGAACTGTAGGCAGGCACAAGAGTTTTATTCACTAATAGTTCTTAATGTTCCCTGTTGACTCAGCCAAGGCTTGTTGCAGAGGCCTGACCCCAGATCTGTTCTGGTATATGGTTTGAGGTGCAGGAGAGGAGGCACACCAAGATATGCAAAGCCGAGCTATTTCTTCCACGTTTTCTCCCGAGCAGCCGAGGCTTCAGTTCAGTGTGTACTGCCCGGGCGCCTTTATTGATATTTATGTGTTTAGACATTTTTAATCATGACCTATATAAACTTAAGAGGAGCCCACATTCTCTGCCCTCGCTACAGACCGACATTGGGAGCCTTTCACCGGTGCAAGGTTTTATTTAAAGTTTTCAAGTGTGGACGCTTCACCGCCTCCTCTAAGCCGTCAGTAAATGTTTGCTCTGTGGGGACGCACGAAAAGTCAGAGCTTAAATAAATTATTATATTGTCTCTCAAAGTTTATACTGTTTCACCTTCCTCTGCCCTAAAACTCTCTCTTTTTCTTACTTTAAAAATTTGGAACTTTTTGTGTTAGACACTATGGAAGGCAACAACATCTGCTTAAATACATCTGAGGATGAACTTCAAATATAGCTTCACAAATTCAATGTACACTTCTGAGTTATTTCTGCAAATTTCAGTTTGTTATTGTAAAGCATTCTCAAAAACAGTTTTCTACTTGACTCCCCTGCAAATCACAAGAAATTAACTTGTGTATTTTTTCCCCTTAATGTTCCTTTAAAGGCTGGGGATGAAAATGGCAGGTAACGATGACGAAGGTTTGCTCACATTTTTGAAAGCAAACACACCTTTGAACAACACCGAGGGTGAAAGGTGGCAGTGTCCTGGCTGAATTCAGAGCTTTTTTCAACGTTGCAGTACCTCAACTCTTTTTTTTTTTTTTTTTTTAAACGAAAGCACGTTCATACCGATCTCCTTAAGAAGTTTAGACTGAAAGAGACTGTTTTTGAAAAACTGGAGCCCTTCAGCTGAATCCCATATGTTTTTCTTGGCAGACGAGTGCTGTCTGCTTGGCCAAGGCTGATGTTGGGGATATTAAACTGATGGAACACAGGACTCTTGATCCCTTTTTTTGAGGGGTTGTGTTCAGGTACCAACTATCTGAGCCTCTGTCAGACACCTGCCATTGTCTCCTCTGATGTTCTATATCCCAGAATACTTGTCGGCAAATAATGTGCCATCAGAAACCCTCCTGCTGGAGAGCCAAACTTGAGACGGCAGAGAGACATTTGTGAAGGTCTTGCACAATGTGAAAGTGGGTTTTTTAAGTGATTGCACTATTTTATTTTATATTTTACATAAAAAGTGGATTGTTGCCAAATAATCATCCACCAGGTATTTTATCTGGTACTTTCCCTCCTTGAAACATCACTTCCAGCAGAGGATGTACTTTCCTGATGTTTTTCGTTTGTGAAAGAGATTCCTGTTTATACATTTTTTTATGACTTTAGAGGAGGGTGACGTAATGCGTGAATTTACACGGCTGTTTAAATAATCCCATCCATGCTTTGGTCAGTTCACCTGAAGTTGACCTTGCTGATATTGGGCAAATGAAATTAAATCTTCTGTCAGTACGACTGGTTTGAGGTTATGCAGAGAATCTCTTCTTTTTTTGTTACACTTTTTGTAATATTATCTTTGTAAAACATGCAATACATGAGATTTGTATAGCTTTGTAGCAATATGACCTTATCTTCGTGGGTTCAATCACTAACTTACAATCAGCTACTTTGTTGCAAACATTGGTGGTGTCATTTGTGACCTATAAAACAAAGCCATGTATACTTAGGCCCATCATTATGGGGCGTTTGTGGCCCAACAGGGAGATATAATCCATTAAGGCTTGTTAAGAGGTACCCCGCAGCATTATGAATTTGTGAATGCAATGCTTTATCTGTAAGGGTAGAAAAGTGAAATGGGCTGTAAGAGCAGTCCATTTACCAATGTATCTGCAAAACACCAGTTGTATGCACTTAGTGTTTTTATATATCTGAATATGTTTAGAACACATATGTTTGTTTCCCTCGTTTCTACAGTTTTCCCTTTTTTTATTGATCATCTGGTGACCATTGTTTGAACACTAGATATATATTGTTTACAATTATATCTTCAATTGAGTACATTAAGGTAATTTCCGTGTGTTGTTTCTAAAATGGTTTTGGTTCTGACAGTGATCACAAACTGTAGTACAACCTTTGGTCAGCTCAGAGGCAATGGCTGTTGGCAAACACACATATTACCATTGTTCATTGTTTATTCAAATTATTGTATGGCTTTTGTTAAAACAATTATGTTTTCATATTCCAATCTCATATCCTTGATACAATGGTTACTTCTTGGTTACCAGCTACAGTTTAGTTTGTTGTTGTCAGGAACCTGTTGACTGTTTAATGGTGTAGTTTAAAACAGAACTCTAAAGTGAAATCGGAAGCTTAAAACTGCATTTTCTGGAGTCATTTTTTTACATTACATTATTACATTAGATGTCATTTGTTAGACGCTTTTATCCAAAGCGACTTACATACATTCAGTACTGTGGGCAATCCTCACAGGAGCAATTTGGGGTGAAGTGTCTTGCCCAGGGACACAACGACATGCTGACTGCAGTGGGACTCGAACTTGCTACCCCCTGATTCAAAGGCCAGCACACTATCCACTGAGCCACAGCCTCCACTACAACTAAATGACTTTACTTTAATTTACATCAAAAAGATAGATAAATCCCACACACACACCTGAAACACCTCCATTGGACTCCTTGGTTTACTCCAGGAACATAGTGACATCACTACGTAAATCCACACTGCAACAATACTTCAAAATTAACATAAAAGTATAATTAGCAAAATATTCTTTAGGTATTCATTGTTAAAGTACCCACTGCAAAAAAAAAAAATACATAAAAAGCACCCAAAAATATTTATATTAAAAATGATTGAATGTACGGATGCTAATTTATATTTTCTCAATCTGCTAATTGAATAATGATCTAATCGCCCAGCGTTCCTCAATAAACGGTTAGCTAATTTAATGTATAACAAAACATCATATTATTTTCTTTATGAAAACATCTGAATTACTAAAGTGAGTATACTGGAGTAAATGCACTTTCCTCCACTAGAGCACAGTAAATATTAACATGTGAGATGTAAAGGGAAATAATACTGGTCTGCTGATTGGTACCACATTAAGTCATTCTCTAAGATAACCCTTTCCGTTTATTGCACACTGTCATCACAGATGGAGAGTCTTAAAAACCAGCAGGACGATGGACAGAAGGAGGAAGAGGAAGAGGAAGACAAAGAGAAAGATGAAGACGAAGAGGAAAAGAAAGAGAAGTCATTGAAGGGAAACAGGAGGAAGAAGAAGGAGCAGACAGATAACCGCCGCTCACAGGAGGCGTCGGACATGGTAAACATAATCACACACACATTTATTAAACATACGATAAACAGAATTTACACAATAATGCAGTAAATACAATCAGACAGCTACGTTAAGGGTTACACATGCATGACATATTTATGGTAATTATCCAAAACACTGGTGCAGGTGTGAGGTAATGAGTCAGTTTAGGACTCATTACTTGCTTTTGTTTTGATTAAAATGTCACCTGTCAATCTGCTGTCAAAATGATGGCTGTAAGGTCTCCTAAATGTTTACAGCACGAGCTAAAGGAGACCGGCCACACCCCCGAACTGACCGCCGAGCATGATGGGAAGGAGGTTCCAGTGAAGAGGCAGATCGCAGCCAAACGGAAGCCTCCGTTACGAAAGAGCTGCAGTCTGGATGCAGAGAGACAGACGGAGAGCAGGTACGCTGAAATAGCGCAAAAAACCCACAAAATACATTCCAATTTACAGTTTCTTTAAAAAGCTCAGAAAGAAAGACTTAAATGTTGTTTAAAAAGTACAACATTGAACAGCAAATATATATGTTTTTTAAATAGCTATAGATAAAAATAAAGTGATATGGTGTCCCCCAGGGATCCGTTTCAGTTCCTCTTTGTTTTTCATTTTAGGAAAAATTATGATAATTTATGTGCAAGTAGAAAACATTTAATAATTCCTCACGACTCACCATGATATAGAAATATTTGAAATCAAATTGAAATGTAAATAACACAAACATTATTAAACGTGTCTGCTTGCATCCCCGAACTGTAGAAATAAAGATTGATGTTGCTTTCCTTTAGGGCCACCTCCTCATACTGTTCCACCCACACCTTCAACTTCCCCTGCTCCCCATTGGATACCAACCGACGAGTCCGCAACATACACAACCAATCACAGCCTGCCGCCACGGAGGCCACGCCCTCACCCTCTGTGACTGGCCCATCATTTTCTGACATCCAGAGGGAATTCGGGAAGGTCATTTGAAATGTGGTGTCCCACAGGGATCATATTTAGATCCTCCTTTATTTCCCATCTAATGAAAAATTATATTTATGAAAACAGATTTATGTTTGAACACATACATAGATGATATTCAAACACACAAAGATGTTTCTTTGGGTTATATTTAAGATTTGAGGGTGGTAAAACTAGCCTGAAATCTAATCATGAGAAATAAGTCTCTGCTGTTTGATGTTGACACTGTTTGAAACCCATGTTTTTGTATGCTCCTAATAGTATTACTGTTTATTAGTCATTTATATTTTTCAAATGATTGTTTGTTTTATTGCTCGACTTCTCTTTACTCTATTGTTAGCTTAGCTTCAATGCTAGCCACTTCAGTGAGTGAATTGGAGAAAGGGTACACACTATAAATGAAGTCAAGTCATATATTTATCGGACAAAGACACTTGCTAAATGCACAAATACTCAATTGTTATTTACCCAGGATGCATCAAGAGGCAGCCTGTCGGAGGCGGAGCTTCACGACGTGATGATGGAAGATTCTCTCTCCAATGACGAGTACGATTGTGCGTCACCTGACGACATTTCCCTGCCGCCACTGGCAGAGACTCCAGAGTCCATCATGGTTCAATCAGACGTTGAGGAGGGCTACTGTTTCAGTTCCCACAGCGTCCACACTAACCAGTACAGCCGCCAGTCAGAGGGCAGCGGCACTGGTACTGGTTCTGGTACTGGTTCTGGTACTGGTTCCGGTACTGGTAGTGGTGCAGTCCGACAACACAGACAGTCCAGCCGGACAGACAGCTGTCCGACTCCTCCAACCAGCCGTCACAGCAGCTCTAGGTCTGTATTAGTTTAATTCTCAGGAAATAACAAGAATCCTTTGTATTCCCAACAAGACATATTTTACGTCATAGAACAAAATGTGAAAATCTCTTTAACTTGTGATGAACAAAAAACCCAACCACAAACACATTGATTTCGTCATGAGGGTACAGAAAGGGCAAAAATGCTGACTCGTTCCTGGGTTTTGGGACTAATTCCAGCAGCTCTATGGTGGTGTAGGACAGGCCGCATGTCACCAAAGTCCCAGTCCACATCTGAACAATAAAAATGTGTTGGTATGAGTTTGATCCCGTTTTGTGTTACAGGTTCAGATCAGAGTCCAGTTCGTTTGTGCAGAGTCCATTAACAGTTCCTGCTCCAACCCTGTTCACCAGCACTCTGTGCAGCATCCTGAAGACTAAAAAGACCGGCACTGCCAACGTCTGTCTGGGCGGCCCTGAACCAAGCTTCCCCTCAGTATCCAACCCACTCGACAAGGATAACTCTTCAGACAGTTGTTCCAAGAAAGACAATGAAGTCCCCGATAAGAGGAACCCCTCAAAAACTGAACCAGTACTAAAGGAGCATGTGAGTCAGTACAACCAGCCTCAAAGGGGAACAGGTTCACTGAGTATGATCACCCAAAATGATGAGACCCTGCTACAGACTGATCCCCAGGTTGCAGAACTCAACCACATCCCTGCCAAGCTCCCCCAGTCCAGCTGCATTCCTGAGGCTTTTGATGGTCCAGACCCTGATTGCCACAAAGACAAAACCCCTTCCCAAGAAACTAGGTTCCTCAAAGTCAACACTACTTTCCCTCAAATCAAAACCTTAATTTGTCAAAAGAACCGTTTGTTACAGTCTTTTCCGGACACTGTCGACGCAGTCTCCAAACAACAAAGGGACAGTTTCCTCAGTACACCCTTTGGTGAACCTTCGGACAGTCATTGCACCTTGACACAGTCTAGCAACAATCTCAGGCCTAAGCAAGAACAGTTCAAGACCTTGCCTGAAATCGGTCCGGGCAAAGCGTTCGCTCTTAGCCCTATCATGCCTACTCTCCATAAAAACACTAGGCTCCTTAAAACCTGTGAAACTTGCCTCCAAACCAACACAACCCTCCCTGAGAACAGCAATCTTTCAATATCGTCCCTGGACTCTGGGAGTGGCCTTGATCAGGATGTACCTTCCTCCCAAACCAGCAAAGAAGAATCCTCCATGTCTGCAAACAGCAAACAAACTGTATACTGCCAGTCCTCATCTATAAAGAGTCATACCTTGAAACAGTCTAGTAGCCATCTCAGGTCTCAGCAAGAACAGTTCAAGACCTTGCCTGTAATCGATCCGGACAAAGAGTTTGCTCATAGCTCCAGCCTCCCTCTTCTCCACCAAGACAGAAGCCAAGACACTGGAATCCTTAAGTCCTGTAAAACTGGCCTCCAAACCAAGTCCTGTAAAACTGGCCTCCAAACCAACACAACCCTCCCTCAAAACAGAAATCTTTCAATATCGTCCCTGGACTCTGGGAGTGGCCTTGATCAGGATGTACCCTCCTCCCGAACCAGCAAAGAAGCATTATCAGACTCCATGCCCCAAAGCAGCAAAACTGTCAAAGATACTGTGTACTGCCAGCCTTCCCCTTCAAACAGTCATTGCACCTTGACACAAGTTAGCAGCAAATTCAGGTCCCAGAAAGAAAGCACCTTATCCCAGGGTGGTTCAGGTGTACCTGAGGTCCATGCCTCCAATATCCCTGATCCAAACAGCATCAGCAATACATTCAGCAACAAGCACCAGACAGCCTACTCCCTCCATGAGCCCTTGACCTCCAGCTGTACCCAGCAGTGTGTGCATGACCCTGGCATAACCCCCGCTGCTCCTCCTCTTCCTCAGCCTGAACCACAAGCTTTGGCTCATCTGCATGTCACCCCCCTTTCCTCTCCACCCCATCTACTAACGCCAGACCAAGACCCAACCATTTGTCAGCCAATGACCATCCGCGAGGAGATCAGGCTTACCCCTCAGATCCAGGGGCCTTCCCTTCCTGCTCCTGTTCCCCAGGCCCAGGCAGAGTCTCTTCCCCAGGGAAAAGCCTCTCACCCGGGCCCTCCCTGCTTCACCAGGCCTCTTTCTAGAGCCACCGTCATGGAGGGCTCTCCGGTGACTCTAGAGGTGGAGGTGATGGCACTCCCCGAGCCCACGCTGACCTGGTGGGTAGCAAATAACCAGCTCCACAATAACACACACGCTCTTTAAGATGATTAACTACACAACTCACCTCGAGGCACCTAATATTTCTAATCTAGAGGCAATGACCCTAACAGATTGCCATTAGGTAATGTTGTGTTTTCTTTACTGAACACGCACAGTTATAGTCCTAGTAAAAACAAAAAAAATATCTAAAGCAGAAGAGGTGGAAAAAGATATCATGCTAACAAGCTACATAGCCCTGCTTTATAGAAGAAGTTGCACTAACATTAGCTAGCAGGTACTTCCTAATGTTAGCTTTTATTCTAGTGGTAAGTTGTTTTCCATTTTCTGGCTTCAAATCTCAAACGTGCTGCGTTTCAAACAAGCCGAGTGGTTTATCCAACGTAAGTCAGGAAAGCAGATTCAAAACCCCACATTTGTGAGTCATATGTGTAGAAGACAAATTACATCTGGACATTATTGATGTTTTGAATATTCCCTTTAAATGTGTGAGTAAATTATATATTGCAGTTTGATAATATTAATAACTTTAAGGCACTGGTTGTTTCATTTTTCACTTTTACTTAAGTATTTAGGAATTAGGGCTGAAACGGATTGTATTCTTGTGCCGTTGTGGTATGGTCCGGTGCATTCATAATACTGTTAGCAACATGTGATACTGTTAGCAACATGTGAGCAGGTTAGCAACATGTGAGCACGTTAGCAACATGTGATACTGTTAGCAACATGTGATACTGTTAGCAACATGTGATACTGTTAGCAACATGTGAGCAGGTTAGCAACATGTGATACTGTTAGCAACATGTGAGCAGGTTAGCAACATGTGATACTGTTAGCAACATGTGAGCAGGTTAGACCTACCAGCCTTTTCTAAAAATCTCAGACATTTCAGAAAAAAAATCTGAGTTCCGTGAAAAAAATGATATAATTTTTTGCTGAAAGTCTCAGATTTCCAAAGTATTATTTTGACTTCTCTGAAAGAAAAATGAATTAGAACAATTCAAATTTTTTCTCAGAATTCCGATTTTTTTTCTCAAAACCCTTTTTTTTGAGTTTCGACAAGAAAGTCAGAATTATTATCATTATTTTTTCATCTAAACAAATGTAAACGTATTCCCACACCGTACAGGATTCACACCGAACCTTGACTCCTGCATAAAATAACGTAACAGCCTAATTAATAACTGATTAACACAAGTGTGCTCGCTAACTGTGTGTTCTGTAATAGCTTATTTTGTTTGTGTGCACAGTTACTACATAAATACATTGAATTACAATATGATATAATCTTAACATTTCACTTGCCTAGCCCCTCACATAATTCATAATGTCCTCAACTCTCTGGTGACGCAGTCCGGCAGATATTCATAGTAACAGATCTCATCATGAGGCCCAGAGTGAGGCTGTGTGCTGTCTGACTTCCTGTCATCATGGTCGCTTCAGGTGTAAAGATGAAGAGGCCACCGCGGTGATTTCCTGTGAGAACGGGAAGCACTTCCTGTTTGTCCCGGAGGCGTCGCACTCAGATGGGGTTCAGGATCAGATCGTCAGCAGCAGTGATAAGTCCTGGGTTCAGGATCAGATCGTCAGCAGCAGTGAAGATTCGTGGCTGGTGTCTGGAGTCTTCAACGTCCTCGCTGTGGACTGGCAGTCCTGGTTGGGGACCCTGTGCGTCCTGCTGTGGCTGCTCTACCTGATTCTACTTTAACATCTGTTTTCCACTGCAGGAACTTAAAGACTTTCAAAACCTGAACTTCCCAAAAGGTGTTTCCCTCTCCTGTAGTCTGTTCNAACAACATTGCGTAGACACTCCCTCACAACCGGCACCCTTTTCCACAGGTAGTGGGTACCATCCCTCACCCAAATTCGTGACAGCCTATTATATTGAGGTAGGCCCGGACAACCAAAACTTAAGTTCACTTGTTGGGCCTGAGAGAGACTTCTATGCACGTAGTACCTGACTTGGGTCCGTAGAGTGTTGTGTAAACCACTCACGTTCCAGTCGTAGAGGGTATTCAACGTGTTAACTACGACACGGAGGGAAAGGACAACTGGTATAAGGGGTGAGGGAGACTCTTCCACGACTTATACATGGTGACCCACGTACAGCTAGTGGGGTTATCACCACACCCGGTACAGAGGTCGTTCTTTGTTTATCGACGAAGGTGGAAACCGTTAAGACCGGTAGTAACCTTTTCAGTGTTTGTCACTAGGTCGTCCGCTCGGTCACGTAGTCTGTGTCGACAGTAGGTGAAGTGAGTGACAACAGGCACACCTGAGGGTACTACAGTCGGATACTGGACTATCTTACAAGGGTACGCATTTTCGGCGTCCCGTTACTCCTGTGACACAGGGAGATGTCAGTCTCGTACTGAGGCGTTCCAAGACGTGACGTCAACACCGGACTGGTCTAGTCGTTACCATCAACTAACGGTAGTTCAGGTTTAGCTTTTGCTAATCTGTCAAGAAGACACACCATGACAACCTCTCCAAACCCGCGCGAGCCACCACCTGGGAAACCGCCATTGAGAGGAACAGGTCGTACCTTCTACACTTGTTCAGGGACGGTTACTTGAATACCAAGACTTGACAATAAAGTCAGTCATCCCGGATGTAGTCACGGAGGCTATCTGTTCATAACGTTTGTGTGTGGACCCTTACGTACAGAGGCTCTAACCAATCCCCGGACACCAATTACATTACATAAATTATCGTTCCGGTCTGGATGATGTTTGATTAACGACTGGACATGTTTGGTAACTCAATCTTTCTTCCCTGTTTTTTCCCGGATTAAAATGGTAGACGACTCTGGGTACGGTGACGACGTCTCACATTCTGTTAATACTGAGGTATCAACCCCATCGAAATTTTACTCTCCCACCTCGCTGATTTCACCTTCTCGCCTTATTTACCTACCTTCAATGTCTGGTTACACTTACGGTGGGTCCTAGACCTTGTGTTCTCCTTGCCACCTGGTTCACTCCAACTCCACCTTTCTTAAACTTCGTCGTTCGAATGGTTTCTTGGTGTCGGTCCGATGTTTTGGGTGTCTGCCCATTGTTTCGGATATTTTCTCCTGTTAATGTGTCTACATCCATGACTTATAGTAGCCACCAGGTCGTCAGTGTTAGGAAATGTACCTTATGGTTATGCAAAATGACCGTACCACTCGAGCGTCCATAGCCGACACCTAAACTAGGAACACCAAGGATAACTTGATTGTTAATAATAAAACATATTATCAATAAAAGTAGTCATGATTGTTACCTATATATAAGAATATATTCGTAGGGATAGTATGTTAAAGAAGTTCTCGAACGTACGAAGCACTAGTAGAATAATTCCCCATATTTCATATAACTACTTGAAAGTAAAGTCCAGCAGTTACGTGGCGTTCAGTTGGAAGGATGTGTCAGATCGACTATGTCATCCTAACCGGGTTTGACGGAGGTTTTGTTTTTCGGTATGAGTTCTGTGATGTTCCTAAATCTAAAAATAAAAATAAACAATATTTTACGACCCTGTGGTTGTTGATGGTGATTACGAAGGGCGTTTGTAACTGTGGTCAGAAGGGTTTATTGCTTGAAGGGGTCTAAGGACGGATGGTGGTTTTTGAAGGGATTGGATAGAAGACCTCGCACGGGCCCCGAGCTCCACCTGGAAATTTCCAGTTTGTAGTCGCCGGCTTTGGGACTTTGCGTACGGGGGTTGTCCCTGGATTTTAGGGGTGGGTCCTAATGGGCTTTTTATTTTTTCCGTTTTATTTATTATGCTCACGGACTTCCTTCCTGCTAAGTCGGTCGATCTTTGAGGGGACCAGATTTGATCCTTGCAAATTGTCCTTCTCTGAAAGTCGGTTGCGATGTGATCCCGACGAGGTAATTTGCATTAATGCTAAAACCGACGTTGCTTATACTTTTGGTGTTAGGCTTTATTTTGTTAAATAAATTTTTTTAACAAATTTATCTATGAGAAAATTTTTGAACAACTCGATTTTGATCAGGAAACGAACGCGGAGGTTTTGCTCATCGTCTACTCTCCTCCCTCTCCTCGTCCCCCTCTTGTCCACTCCGACCAGTCCTTGTGTCTGTGAGTTGGATATTTACTTGGTTTTTATTATTTTATTTGCTCAGCCACCTCACTCATTCTTCCTCCCTGTCTCTCAACTTGTACCTAGGGTCTTCACACTCTGTTTAAGACCTAGATTTTCAGGTTGGTGGCTCATAGGACTTCCCAGTTGTTTTCTTCCTGTTTATACGTAATTCTTCCTCTCGCTGTGGAAGTCCTATTTCCCCATCCTACGTACCGGTATACCTCAGTATCTTGTGTTACTATTATACGATACCATTTTGATTATGTAGATTATAAACTTGTATATTTGTGGCTACCTCTCGACATGATGTAGACGTTCGCGTCTGTTTTTGTTCTGACTCGTTGGAACGGTTTCAACAGAGATGCGGCTTCTTCGAGTCTGGTTGACAAGTTCCCTCAAAGTGAGGTCATTGTAACCACCTGTACACTCACCTCTTCTGGTGACACGCGAATACGGTCGATGATAACCGGACCGACCTCTCACCTCGGTATGCGTTCACCCACTCAACCAAGCAAGTTTTATTACTCCACCTTATGTGTAAGTCCAAGTTTCATCTCGTGTCTCCTCTCATTTACAGTTCACATAAAGTTTTAACGAATATGACATACACCGATTGTAGGATGACGTCGTTTCCTACCTAATTCTCCTATACTGAAAGTCGGCACAATTCGGTAGTAACGAGGAAATTCTGCCGACTTTCAGGTATGGGAGGACGGTACACTTTATTTACACTGACAATTATATATAAATATATATAGTAATTATTATTTATGTATGATGATAATAATAAGGTAATCCCGTAAAAGCCTTTTAACATATAGCGGCGACGGTTTTTATCTAATGAGTCCCGTGGTAAAATAAGGAATATACGACCCGCACATATAACAAAAGTAAAAATTTCAACACTACACAAACAACCGGGTGGTAAAAGTTTTCCCCTCTTCCGTAAAGAAAAAGAACAAGGTGTGCCATTGAGCGCTTGAATGGACTACTGAAGAGGCGTTTTGCATACCTCAACTATCTGAGAGTGGAACCCCAAGGAGCATGCCAAATAACACTGGCTTGTATTGTGCTACACAATATCGCTGTCCATCGCAGAGTCCCCCTCTCTGACATCGATGATCCCCCAGAGCCCCTCGCACCTGCTGATAATCTAGGCCCACCTATGGATTTCCCTCTAAATGAGAGACTGAGTGGTGGGGCAAGGCGAGATGCTATTGTCCTCCTATTGTTTACTTTTGAAAGGTGATGACAGATGATGGACTTTTTTTTTGTTGAAGATATTTTTTCTTTAATCTAAATTACATTTGTGATTGACAATCTTTGCTGTGATACTTTTATGAGCATAAACATTTATGTCATCAACATTTGGTTGAAAACAAAATAGGCCACCACAAAAGTTAGCAAAAATGGAAAAAATAAAATGTATTTCCCATGAAGGCTAAACATGGTGTATTATTTCAGTTAACAAATGTTGCCATCTTATTTAAATTGAAACATATTTTAAAATAAATTGTACAGTACATGTTGCTCTGGTAATCCACTGGAAATCCACCCCTCTGGTGGGATCAGGATAATCCAGTTTTTTGGGATCAAACTGATCCCAATCCTGTGTTGTCGGTTTGAACTACCCATTTTGAAGATTTGATCCAGATTAAAGCTTGGATTTGATGTCCTGATCTGATCGGATATCAAAGTGATCCTAATCCTGTTATTTGGTTTTGAACTCCCCAAAATCCAAATCTGATCTGATCAGATAGGGATTAAAAGTTTTGAACTCCTGGGCCCAGAGGATGAACACTAATGACTTTGGTGATTCCCTGACTGTTCCTGTGGCAGTACGATAAGATACAAAACTCTACACACTTAAGTCAGGGTTTGGTGATTACCCAAGTTTCCTGAAACATTTTTGCCAGCAGGTGCCGAATGCTTTAGGTGCATCTGTATCTAAGCCTATTTAAGTTATATACGTTTCTCGCCAAAACATAATAAATTACATTTGATAACATCAGGATACTTATTAACAAATGTAGGCAATAACAATTTATACTGAAAACAGCATGAACGCATCATAGTGATCAAGTCAATGGCACCTCATGCTAGCAGGACTTGCTGCCCATCTGCTGCTAACCGCTAGCCACTAACCGCCACATTGAGTCACTTTCTGGTAAACTATGTCTCTGCTCATTACATAAAATGTCAAGCTATATAGCTATGTCAAGCTATGTATCCAAAATCACAGCGGTCTCATTGAAATTAATGAGTAGTCTGAATACGCCTTAAAATGGTCATCACTGTTGATTTGACAACACTACACATACCTCTTGTTTTCTGCACTTTGTTTGAACATCAGCCGTGTTTTCTTTAGCTTAGTTTCCATAGTAACACTGATCCAGGTTGCTTGCAAACGTTTTACTCTCTGATGGCTGCGGCCCGCCTGTTACGTGTTTCTTGATCGATATGTTTCGAAAGAAGGCGATTCCACTGTGCAAACCCTGGATATATTAATGACACGGGTAACATGTCCTCCACGATGTTTGCTGCACCTTTTTATCTCTGCTAAGTGACTCTGAAATTTTGCTCCGTTTCCTCAATCATGAAGTTGTGAGTGTAGCGCGAGCAAAAATGAGATTTGATTAATTTTTCTATCCTCCCGTTATACAGATAATCGAAGACTTTAAAAGCATATCGCATTA